GCCTCCACCCTAATGGCGATGGCCTCAACCTACAAGCGATGGCCTCCACCGAATAGCAATGGCCTCCGCGATGGCGTCAACCTACAAGCGCTGGCCTCCACCGAATAGCAATGGCCTCCACCGAATAGCAATGGCCTACCAACCTAATAGCGATGGCCTCCCAACCTAATAGCGATGGCCTCCACAAAATAGCAATGGCCTCCCAACCTAATAGCGATGGCCTCCACCGAATAGCAATGGCCTCCACCAAATAGCAATGGCCTCCCAACCTAATAGCGATGGAATAGCAATGGCCAACTTACTAGCAATGGCCTCCCAACCTAGTAGCGATGGCCTCTAACCTAATAGCAATGTCCTCAAACCTAATACCAATGGCCTCCAACCTAATGGCGATGGCCTCCACCTAATAGCGATGGCCTCCAACCTAATAGTAATTGCCTCCAACCTAATAGCAATGGCCTCCCAACCTAATAGCGATGGCCTCCACCGAAAAGCAATGGCGCGATGGCCTCCCAACCTAGTAGCGATGGCCTCCACCTGATAGCGATGGCCTCCAACCCAATAGCGATGGCCTCCAACCTAATTGCGATGGTCTCCACCTAATAGCGATGGCCTCCAACCTAATAGCAATAGCCTCCACCCAACAGCAAAATCCTCCCAACCTACTAATAGCGATCGCCTCCACCGAATAGCAATGGACACCCAATAGCGATGGCCTCCAACCCAATAGCGATGGCCTCCACCTAATAGTGATGGCCTCCCAACCTAATAGCGATGGCCTCCAACCTAATAGCGATGGCCTCCACCTAATAGCGATGGCCTCCAACCTAATAGCGATGGCCTCCAACCTAATAGCAATGGCCTCCAACCTAGTAGCGATGGCCTCCACCTAATAGCGATGGCCTCCAACCTAATAGCAATGGCCTCCAACCTAATAGCAATGGCCTCCAACCTAACAGCCAATGGCCTCCACCTAATAGCGATGGCCTCCAACCTAATAGCAATGGCCTCCAATCTAATAGCAATGGCCTCCAACCTAATAGCGATGGCCTCCAACCAAGCAAAACTGTAACTCTTCAGGTCAATCCAAGACTAAGGTACCAAGTTGCAAATGCACATGATGACCATGATGTCTGTCCGCTTTAGCCATGTGTCTTTCCGACTTTTGGTCTCATGTGTACATGCAAGAGATCTTTCTAATTCTTTCTCCCTCTCTCTCGTTCTCTCTCCTGCTTTGTGTCGCCATCAAAGTGTCTTTTCTTCTTTGGCTTCCGCCCTGCACATGTCCAGCCCAGCTCACACACTCATCAGCAAGTCACCCATTTCTTTCCAAATATCCAAACACCGGATCCTATGTGTGTGTGTGTGTGTCCCACCCTGGACAAAGGGTCTTCCACCACCATTTCTCCACAAGCAGGGGTTATGACCTGCATGGAGACACCTGTATTGCTTCTCCATCAACGAAGCTGGCAATACATGGTGAGGATATCAGTTCCGGACGCGGAACTGACGTACCTGCTTTCAACACAATGACTCCACTGGTCCACCCTGCCGCTGTTCGTTGTTTTCATGGTCCTTCATGTTACCACCCCCAAACCCACTGCAGCCTTACAGCTGACTTGCAGCCGCGCTGAGTGTCCGATCGTCTTTTCGAGTGCCACTGCAAACAAAGTTAAACCATACTGTTTTCACTGACCTTTGCGCCCTGCGGTTCCTCGCCTTTCTTCCCAACGTGATACTTGCATTAACTGAAAGTCCAAGTTCGAAGTGTGCATGTAACCTTTGGAATCACGGGGATCCTTTTGGATTGTAAATAGCAGGGGGCACCTGGCGCAGAGATAGGGCAGGTGCCAACGAAAACACCTATCTCTTGCTTGTGATATCGACGTGGGACGTCCTGTCGACGTACCTGCAACTGTGTGTGGCGTTGAGTAACCACAACCCACTCTAGAGCATAGGCTGGTGGAAGGCTCTCCCAGCACCTCCCAAAGGGTAGAAACAAAGGCCCCCTGGCTATGTGTTTAGCATGCAATAAGCATCCTCTGGGTGGCGCTGGTCTAGATGTTTGTATGCTTACTACAAGCGAAGGCTTTCATCAAGTCACCTCAATGACAGTCATCATGAGGTTTCAGAGGTCGGCAGATGTGCATTAAAGGGCTAGTATGTTCATAGGTTTTGGAGGCCTGAGTTTTTGCTTTATTCCCTGGACCCTCAGGCGGTTTACTTAGGCTGGCGTGTGGCCAACCGGCCAACCGCAACCGAATCAGTACGCATGTGTGAGCTTTGCCGCTGAAAGGAAGACAAGAGTTGTGACAAGAGCCATACCTGAGGCTCAGCTATGCCTAAAATCCGGTCAGAGACTTCCGCTCAAAATCTGCGATGGCAAACGTTCTGCCAACTAGCAGAGATCCTTGACTGCCCATCACCAACGCTACAGTTCGTTTTCTTTCGTGTCCGGCCGTGTTCTGGATTGGTCTGCATCGGGCAACTTGCCTCCCTACTAGTAGTTGAAAAATCTGTCCCATCAACAACCTGAACTTGTATATCTTGGCTACTGAGATGTCCTGAGGTCACTGGCTACTCATGGCTACTGTGTTCCAGGTCCGGACCGTCCCACGACGGTGCGATGTCAAGTCCACACGACAGTGTCCCCGACGCCGCCTCGCTTCGCTTCGGAGTTTGGCTCTGGCAAGCGAGGCCTCAGACCGTTCGGCTGTGCGGGTCGGACGTCATCGACATGTCCTCTCACAAGTTCGTCTGTGTCGAGTAGACAAGTGAGAAACGTCGGACCAAAAACCTGTAGAACATGTTGGGCCTGATTTTTTAGCCCAAAACACAGAACCCTTCGTGGAGCAAATGATCAACTCAAACTCCATGGCTTGAGTCAACTGCAGCGCCAATGCCTCGAATCACTGGAGAGGTGCGCATGAAGTGGATGAGGCATGATGGGGCTACTTGGTGTGCCCGAAGATTGACGAGGCGCCTCTTTGCAAGAACTGTTCTGCTCAGGTGGCCGTTGCCATACATATGGGCATGGCGTGCCATTTCCAGCGGTTTGGACCACGGCAAGCTTGTCAATGCCACAACCGATGCAAATAGCCCGATTCCAAGCCCCGCTGACAGAACAAATCAATTCTCAAATGCTCTTGAAATGGCGATCGGTGTTGATCCATTGAATCCACTGTCGCTTTAACCTAATAGCAATGGCCTCCAACCTACTAGCGATGGCCTCCAGCCAAATCGCGCCAAAAAGCAAAGTGTGCGGAGATGGGTCACAACGAGTCACAAGCCATCGCATGCAATCGACACCTGCGCGTGCGCTTGGGGCCCTGCTCTTTTCCTGCCTGTCAGCTCAATATGCCCAAACAAGGTACAGCTGCAAGGTATCGCCTTCCCTTGCATGCAAGTAATTATGCAAGTGTCGCAGAGTGTCCAATACTTCCAAGGGCTAAAAAGGGTTGGTCGACGCTGGCTCTGGTAGGATGTTATAATGATTGTGCATGTGCATGTTTCTCCACACTTTACTAGCATGAAGCGGCCAGGATGCAGAAGAGCCCAAGACAACTATCCTGCGACCAAGAAAAAAGAGGGGAAGAGGGGCGACCAACAAACCATAAGTTGCTCGACCTGCTCCGGTACGTGTTGGCAGCATCCGGTACGTGTTGGCAGCATCCGGTACGTGTTGGCAACATACAACCGAGTTGTGACGTTCCAATTTCATAGAAATAAAAATCCATTCGTGAAGCCCTTCCATAGGGCTTAAAATCACTGGAATTTCTGGGATCGGACTTTAACTCGCCTGACCGCTTCAGATCACCATAGTTGCAATCAACTCCGACAGAGAAACCCAGGACGTTTACAGGATGTTACAGGTGTGGGTGGATCCACACGTCCATTTGTTGGACCGGGGACTTTCCTATTCCCAGGGAGCTCCGGCTTTCTGTTGATCTCGGCCATGCGAATTGTGACATCGAAAAGCTTGATATCCCCGGAGGATTCTTCACTCCACGCCCACGCGGTCCGTTCTCGTGCTTCTGGCGATTCGTGCCTTCATGAGGGATTCCCGAGACGTCCGAATTCGTTGGATGTCCATGAGGTCCTGACACCACTCCACCGGGCAGCTTGATTTGCTCCAGACCTCAACAGGTCCAGACGACGGCCCAATAGGCCGACACTATCGATCTTTATCTAGAGATCTATTGGGCCGGGAATTGATCCAAAAACGGTTGCCTGCTTCGGGTTTTCCACGAGATGATTTGAGACATTTGGGACCGGCTCCTAAAATCTATACATACATATTTCATACTTATGTATATGTCCCACTTAAAACGTTTTAAAACTGCTATGGAACTTCCGACATGCCGCAGGTTTGGTGCGAATAAAGGGATGGCTCTACCAAACGTCAAATGGGGAGCGGCTTGTAAGGCTTCAATAGATGATAGCAACTGTTCGTTTTGCTGCTAAGGACCTGCAACAGAAACTTGCGACGGATTCCCCTCTGCTAGTCTGTTTGTCTCGCGGCCAGCATAGGCTTCTTCCTGCTTCCTCTTGGCCTTCTTGCTTCTTGCCTCTCCAAATCGTGGATTTTGCTTTATTGGCTCGTCCCAACTGGGAGGAAACGGAGGTATCATGTTCCCTGCTAGAAAACAATGGACAATGCATCTTCAATACGTCTCCTAACGACATTGAAAAGGCTTCTACTAGTATGAAGGCAAACGCGATGCATTTCCCCAAATAGCTTGGTTCACGATTTCCAAGTCATGCTTACAGGAAAACCATTTAATCGTCAAAACTGTGGGATGGAGGCCTTCGTCAACAGTTTGTGTTGGACTTGCGGCCTAGAGCGAATATGTTAAAGGCGTCCTTTTCATCCTTTTATATCCAAGGCATAATGATTGTCATGCGCGCCTCGGCTTCTTTACTGCTCAATTGCTGGGCGGGAGCCACAGAGAAGGTCTTGTCAATGGGCCCATCATGGGGCACGCTCCATTCAACTGGAGGGGGTGCGACAGCCTCGACACAGGTGGATGTGAATGCACAAACAGTGTCGTGCTCATCTGCATCACTTACACACATAATCCAAACCAGCCTGTAGGGCACTTGCAAACACGTCTGATCGATTCATACCTTACACTAGTTGGGTTTGTACTTTTTTAAGGTTCCCGGGCCGGGATGTTTGACTATGGGGTATGCTTCGGAGGTATGCTTCGGGGGTATGCTTCGGGGTATGCTTCGCGCAATGTGAAGACTAAAGTAGTAGCATTTCGAGAGGGTATGCTTCAGGGTATGCTTCGGGGGTATGCTTCGGGGTATGCTTCGCCTAAGTCGAACATCCCAGCCCTACATAAACTGGACACCTTAAAAAAAGACAAGCCCAGTTTTGTCTGCAGTAGTATCAGAACGCTTGCGATTCCTTCAGGCCTTGCTGGGGTGGTATGCCCAAACCAGCTCACCGCCAATGCTAGGCCCAATCCACCAGCCACAGTCTGCATCACTATCTTGTTCATTCCAGAAGTAAATCAGAACGTCCAAATCATCACCCTTTTGTGCTGTCTCACGCATTTTCTTGTAGACTGGTCTTCCATGGTTGGTGCCACAGCGGAAATAGGTGCCCTTCACAGCATCACTGATGGTCTGATTTCGACAACCACTGGCAATAAGGGGAACCAATGGGTCAGGAAGGCTCTTGGCAACAGATTCTTCTGCTGATGCTGCTGGTACCACCTCCTTTTCTCTTGCAGAAGCCATTCTTTTCACGTGGCCTTCGCACAAAAAAGAGCACCAAGTCAACAAGCAAAATAAAATCCTCAACGTCCACCGCCCCCTGGTGACCTGCAGCCAAGAATACTGTCAAATTTGCTGAAGCGTGCCTGTCTTTCTCTCTGTACGATGAATCGTGTCTTTGGAAAGAGGGAGACCTCAGCACGTGAGGTGATTTGTTCGCATCCGACAAACCTTGATGGATTTATGTAAAGGGTGCAGTTTTATTCGGAAAATAGTTTTCGTTGCGTTTGGGGAATTGGTTTGTGCGGTCGTGGTTTCTCTAGTTCCTCCAGTGGAAGTGGAAAGCTAGCTTTTTGTAGAAGAAATAAGTGTCCGGAGACCATTTTCCATGTCCATGATTTCCCTGGACCACAAGGCAAAAAACAAAAACTCCGGCCGCAGGGCGAACAAACACGAGACAAGTACATAATAATTATAAGCATAATCGAGCAGGGAGTAAAGAATGAAAGAGCTCTGTTCATATGATGCACTTGGGTTGTCCATTAAGGTGAAATGACACACAAGAAAACAAAGAGCAAGGCTAGGAAAAGTATGGAACATCAGAAAAGCAATAAAAAGCAACGGCAACAAACGCCATAGAAGGCGAAAGCCATTAAAACAGTGAACAATCCGCCAGAAGAGGACAAGAAGCAGGAAAGCAATTAACAGCAAAAAAAAAGCAGGGAAAAACTAGGGATGGCCGCCAAGACAAGCACAAAAAAGCAGGAAAAGCCAGAAAAGCAGGAGCAACCACAGAGAAACAATGGAAAGAAATGAAAGGCAAGGAAAAGCAAAACAAGCACAAAAAAGAAAGAAAAACATGAGAAAACATAGAGATCATAGAGAAGCAATGAAAATCCAGAAAAGCAACAAGAAGCAGATCAACAAAAATTCCTCAAACGCAATAACAAAAAATAGCAATCCTTATACAAATGGAGTCCCCCGATATGCTGCAGGTTTGATGTAAATAGGGATGACTGTTAGTTTTGCTACTAGGGACCTGCAAACAGAAACTTGCCACGGATTCCCCTCTGTTAGTCTGTCTCGCGGCCACCATGGGCTTCTTCCTGCTTCCTCTTGGCCTTCTTGCTTCTTGCCTCTCCAAATCGTGGATTTTGCTCTATTGGCTCGTCCCAACTGGGAGGAAACGGAGATCATGTTCACTGCAAGAAAACAATGGACAATGCATCTTCAATACGTCTCCTAACGACATGGAAAAAGGCTTCTACTAGATTCTACTAGTATCACTTCCCCAAACAGCTTGGTTCACGATTTCCAAGTCATGCTTACAGGAAAACCATTTAATCGTCAAAACTGTGGGATGGAGGCCTTCGTCAACAGTTTGTGTTGGACTTGCGGCCTAGAGCGAATATGTTAAAGGCGTCCTTTTCATCCTTTTATATCCAAGGCATAATGATTGTCATGCGCGCCTCGGCTTCTTTACTGCTCAATTGCTGGGCGGGAGCCACAGAGAAGGTCTTGTCAATGGGCCCATCATGGGGCACGCTCCATTCAACTGGAGGGGGTGCGACAGCCTCGACACAGGTGGATGTGCATGCACAAACAATGTCGTGCTCATCTGCATCACTTACACACATAATCCAAACCAGCTGTAGGGCACTTGCAAACACGTCTGATCGATTCATACCTTACACTAGTTTTGTCTGCAGTAATATCAGAACGCTTGCGATTCCTTCAGGCCTTGCTGGGGTGGTATGCCCAAACCAGCTCACCGCCAATGCTAGGCCCAATCCACCAGCCACAGTCTCCATCAGTATCTTGTTGATCCCAGAAGTAAATCACAACGTCCAAATCATCACCATTTTGTGCCTTCTCACGCATTTTCTTGTAGACTGGTCTTCCATGGTTGGTGCCACAGCGGAAATAGGTGCCCTTCACAATTTCACTAATGGTGTTATTCCGACAACCAGTGGCAATAAGTGGAACATCCAATGGATCAGGAAGGCTCGTGGGAGCAAGCTCTGCTGCTGATGCTGCTGGTGCCACCTCCTCTTCCCTTGTAGAAACCATTGTTTGCACGTGGCCTGCGCGCAAAGAAAACACCAAGTGTTCAACAGACCTTGGGAAACCGGCCCCAGTGGATTGAGCGAATTCTCCCAAAAATAAATCCCCGACGGCTGGGCACGTGCTGCGTCTTTGCACACAACGCGGTCTTGAAACATGCGGTGTCGATTTTGGAAACTTGGTGGGGGCGGGTAAAAACACATATGTTCCATAAACAATGTCAAAAACTCAAAACACAAACTGTAAAACGTAACTAGCACGGAGGTTGGCGCTGCTGCTGGTGCTGCCGCTGCTGGATTCTAGCAGTTGCTTGATTCTTGCTGCTAGTGGGTTCCGACGACATTTCGCATCAACCCCTCCCAACAGGACCCAAAGTTTCGGCAAACATGAAGCCCCTAGAACCCTGCGCTGTAGCAAGCAAGCCAGCCAGCTGCGAAAGCGGCTGAGCCGACCGGTGGCCGGTGGCCGGCGCCTAGAAAAAACATGAAAAAACTATACGGGGGACAGGTGTGTACGAGTTGCTTCTGGTGCTTAAGACAAGGGAAAAATATCTCAACGGAAAGTGCGCAGTACATGTTTCTTGTTCTCTTCGGTGTTTCTGGAAACATCAATTCCAGAATATGTCTGAAAGGTGGGGAGAACATCGGGACCCTACTTATATGCATATTGGCGGGCAGTCATGGGGAAACTATGGGGCGGGCCTATCATTGTAAAAATGTATGGAAGCAAGGGAGGGGAAACGGCCCTCAGGAAGCATACTTTTTCACGGACATGTATGAAAGGCGACGGGGACATCCATAATCGGAACCTGCTCCAGAACTTCCTCCTCCGGAACCTTCTCCGGAAACCCTCCAGAACCTGCCCAGAGCCTTGTCTGGAGCCTGCTCCAGAACTTGCTCCAGAAACTGCTCCGGAACCTGCTCCACAACTCCGGAACCTTGTGTGGAACTTGCTCCTGACCCTGCCCCGGACCTCTTCCGGAACCTGCTCAGGAATCTGCTGTGGGTGCTCCAAAGTCTAATTCTATGGCTATGGCATTCGACCCTCAAGCTTTGTCCAAAAAGAGCAGAAAAGCAAGGAGGGAGAGCCGGATGCAAGAAACAACAAAAAACACAGAAGCAGCCAACACATGGATCTATGATGTGGCCTCTGGAAACTCTTGACCTTGAACGACTCCTGGAACGTCTTGAAGGACCCCTTGTAGAACTCTTTGAACTTGAACGACAATGGTTCCTCGAGCTAGATGAAGATACCTTTGACTCAGGTCCTCTGCTCCGCTCCCCGATCTGACGTCTCGCCTCAGAGGTGCCCGAGCCAGCCTGCTTTTCCAGTTCCTGTGATGCATTGCTTTGTGGCAACTGAACATGGCAGTTTGCTTCCGACTCCGGTGTGAACTTTGTCTTACTCTTGTCAGGCAAATGAGCATGCAAGTGAGCCTGCAATGTCTCCTCTGAAGTTGGCTGCTGTGATGGCTGCTGTACA